ACCCTTCACCCTCCTTGAATTCCTCCAAGTAAAAAAAAAGAAACTGAAAAAAATTTTTTTAATGATCCTATACCCGAAGTCCTCGAAAATGGTCCAGGAATCCCTGAGGGTCCCCAAAACTCTCTCAGGGGATCTATGAAGTCAAACTGTTTCTATAATAATGCTACGAGGTTATTACTTGCTTTCTTACTGTCATTTCCTCACAAGCGTGCGGTGGAGTTTTCCAGGGCTATTTATGTGGATTTGCAAAAGACTGAATACAGAAGAGATGAGAATCCAGCTGCTTCCATTGTCAGATATTAAAAATAGCCCTGGCCGGTTTGGCTCAGCGGTTAGAGCGTCGGCCTGCAGTCCGGAGAGACCTGGGTTCGGTTCCCGCTAAGGGCACGTACCTCGGTTGCAGTTTGTCCCCGGCCCTGGTTGGTTGTGCGGGTGGCAGCCACTCAATGTGTCCCTTCACGTCAATGTTTCTCTCTCTCTCTCTCTCTCCCTTCCTCTCTCTCCCTCCCACTCTATCTGTACAAAAAATGGAAAAGTATCCTCGGGTGAGGATAAAAAAAAATATATATATATATATATATATATATATATATATATATATAAAACAGTGCCACTCTTATCATTAAGTTTGTTTTGGAAAATAGAATCATTTTTTAAAAATATATTAACATGTAATGGATTTATTATTTTTAATTTAAAATACATTTTAAACTTTTCAATTTTTTTTTAATCCTCCCCCGAGGATATTTTTCCATTTGTCTTCAGATAGACTGGGAGGGAAAGAGAAAGAGAAAGAAACGTTGATGTGAGAGAGACACATCGATCGGTTGCCTCCTGCACGACCCCGACCAGGGCTGGGGACCACCGCAACCAAGGCATGTGCCCTTGACCAGAATCAAACCCACAATTCTTCGGTCCATGGGCCAATGCTCCAACCGCTGAGCCAAACCGGCCAGGGCTGGGCTTCTCAATTTCTAATGTTATCAGTAGGTATATATCTCACATAAACAAAAGCTCTAGGGTCCTCAATAATTTTTAATTTGTAAAGGGGTCCTGAGACCCCTGCGCCCTCCCCATATCCTCCATGACCCCCTTGCTGCTGTCTCTTGTTAGCAGCCAAATTTCCTGAGAGCTGTCCGCATCCGCTCCCACTGGCTCCTCACCGCTGTTTCTGAAATTGCTCTTCCAGTGGCCACTCCTGTCCCTATTGTCCCTGACATCTCGGCAGCATGTCCCTGGTCCCCAGATTCTTCACCTCTCCATCTACTTCTTCTAGACTGTTCTTGCTTCACTCAGATCACCAGGCCTGGGGCCTCAGGGCAGGACCGGGCCCTGATCTCTTTTCTCTCCACTCCTAGGGCTTTAAGCACCATCTAAATGTGTGTGGCTCCCAATCTCTCACTCCAGCCCAGAGTTCTCTCCTGAGTTCTAGACCCACATATTCAGCTGCCTCCTACACATCCACGAGGATGACGCTGTCCCACACGGCACTCCCAACTCACCCGCTCTAACACGGCCCTTTACAGCTCTGAGCCCTGGCCCCCCCTTCTCCCCCTCACTCTCCTCGTCCCCAACCTCACCCCTTACCCTGCTCTCAAACCCACCCTCCTGTCTGTGCCTCGCCTCAGCTCAGGCCACCTCCACCTCTCCCTGGCCTCGCTTTGGCCTTCCTCCTCCAAGCAGACACAGCGGCCAGTGTTCCTTCTTAAGCAGCCTCTTCCCTGCCCTGAATCCACAGAAGGCCCCCTCGACCCAGGAGGAAGGCCACCAAAGAGACAGGCTGGTGAGCCAGGACAAGCAGAATAGGGAACTGAGACAGTAAAACAAGCAGCTTGCAGCCATCTAGTAAATCCTATCTTCTGTAACCAAGGACCTAAAAGTACTATAAATAGTCCTGGCCAGTTTGGCTCAGCCGTTAGAGCGTTGGCCCGAGGACCAATGAGTCCTGGGTTCGATTCCAGTCGAGGGCATGTACCTCAGATGCAGTTCATCCCCAGCCCTGGGAGGCAACCAGTTGATGTGTCTCTCACATCAATGTTTCTCTCTCTCTCTTCTTCCCACTCTATCTGAAGAAAAATGGAAAAATATCCTCAGGTGAGGATTGAAAAAAGAGTACTATAAATAGTTCACACCTCTCCCTAACCAGAGGGTAAATCACCCTACTTAGGGAGACAGATAGTAGAAATCTAATTGTTGCCATTTGCCAACTACACCCAAGGACAGATGAAGTTAAAAACTAGCCTGTGCTAGCCCTGGCCGGTTTGGCTCAGCGGTTAGAGCGTCGGCCTGCGGTCTGGAGAGACCCAGGTTCGGTTCCCGCTAAGGGCACGTACTTCGGTTGCAGTTTGTCCCCGGCCCTGTTGGTCGTGCGGGTGGCCGCCACTCGATGTGTCCCTTCACGTCGATGTTTCTCTCTCTCTCTCCCTTCCTCTCTCTCCCTCCCACTCTATCTGTACAAAAAATGGAAAAATATCCTCGGGTGAGGACAAAAAAAACAGCCTGTGCTCATTTCCCCACTAGCCCTCTCCCGTCTCCTAGGCTCTTCCGTTTCACAGCCCCCAGCTTTCATAAACGTCCTCTAAAGATCACCTAGATCCGTAGTGTGAAATCTTTCCTGCAGCAAGTCAGGAACCCACCTGCTACCAGCCGGCCTGAGGCAGAGCTGCTCGGCTGGTAACAGCATCACCAAGCTGGCTAGCAGGATGCAGGATACAGTTCTGCCACCTGTCTAGCCCCATGTCCCCTTTGCCACCCCACTGTCCCAGCTGGTCTGACCTCGCTTCCCTCTCTAGCACAGGCTGCTCCCTGCCCCTCGGGCTCAGGGCTCAGACCTATCCCTCCCCAGAGAGCCTTCCCTGACCACCCACTCCGGGCCAGGAGCCCTTTCTAAGCTGAGCACCCTATTCTCCTCCTGTCACAGCACATTTCATGCTGAATAGTCACCATTCAGTTTGCAGGCTCTGAGTTCCTTGAGGAGGAGGATGTCTGCACTGCTGTACCCCAGTGCCTAGATCAGTACCTGGCCTGCAGCAGCTTAGTCAGTACTTGCTACATGACTGGGCTGAAGAATTCAAATCCATGTACAGCTGGCAGGCAGTCCTCCCCACCCCCATCTGGTATACAGCAGGGCTCTGCTCTGAGCACCCCGACGGGCCTCCTGGGCTCCCTGCCCCTCTGCCTCCTCCTGTTGTGTTGCCCTGACTGAGCCTCAGAAGAACCTGACTAGACTCCACAGTTCCCGTTCATGGCCAGGACATGCGACTGCCATCATGTGGGCACACACCCCAGGCACAAGACTGCCCAATGTGGTTGGTGCTGACCCTGCTGGGGACACCCAGACCAGTCCAGGAGACCAGCCACAAGAGGAGCAGCAGCAACACAAACCACTTAGTGTCCCAGCATCAACTAATGCTCAGGAGGCTAAATAGGTTTCTGGAGGTCACTGGGCCATTGAGGGAAGGGGCGGGGTTGGAGCCAGACTCTTCTGATGTTAAAGCCTGTCACCTGGGCCCCACACACATTCTGTAGGTCCAGGAATAGAGAAGAGAGGATGAGCCCACTGAAGGGCCATTCCTACATTCCCAGTTAAGGAGCCCAGGATCAGGCTGAGATCTTGGGACCAGGATTTGTAACTTGGGGTCAGGGCAGGGAGCAGTAGCCAGGGGCAGGGATGGGTGAACAAGCAGTAGCCCAGAGGGCACCCCAGCAACTCATTCCCTTGTGGGAGAGTCCTGGCAGGTCAGGGTAAGAGAAAAGTACAGCCCACACTCCAGGAGAGGCAACAGTGAGCACCTGGACCTCAAGTCAAAGGGCTACCAAGTCCTCCAGGCCACAGGCCTTCGCTGTCAGCACTATCCCAGAAGCTGTCACAACCCTACCCTAACCCACATGCTCCTTAAGCAGGAGGCCAGAGGTCGAGCCTCACTATCGGGAAGAGGCAGCAGCTGACCTGGGAGAAAGACCTGGTCTGGGCTCCAAGTCTACCAGCCTCCTTGGGGCAGGAGACACAGGGAACTGGGTCAGTGGCAAAAACACTGCTCACAAAGCTGCCAAATACAGCCACAGAGGCTGAATTCTCATGACTCAGTGGTGTTTTTCAATGTGCGCTAAGACATGGACAGTTCCCATGGGTGTCGTGTACCTGGCAGTCCTGCCTGTTCCCTGGAGAAGGAGATGAAGACAAAGATGGAGTCCTTTCCCCTTTTATGAGGCTTCCAGGGCTTCACCATTCCACTCGTCCCCACCCACCATCTGAAGAAAGAATCACATTCCAGCGTAGCACAGATAATAAGAGATCAGTTTATGGATAATAGTATGGGACAGACTGGGATGGCACCAGGGTCCACAGTGAAGAATTTCCCAGGAATAAACAGGCAGATAGAATTGGCAAGACAAACAGACAGGACAGGGAAACAAAGCCCAGTGGGTCAAAGATCCAGGCCCAGCCTCAGCAGCTATGCCTGGGCTCCAGATCCAGCTTTGCTCTGGGGACCTGGGGGATGAACAGGGCTGAAAGGGGCCTCAGTTCCTTTAGGGCCTCCTCTCCTCACTCCCTTCTGTCCCTCACCAGCAGGCTGAGACCTTTCAAAGGTGGTATTTCTGGGGCTAAAGAATGGTTAGTTTGGGGATTAGGGAGTTAAAAGGTCAAGGCTCTTGGAGGCTTCCTGGAGAGGTGGAGGCCTGCCTGGTGTGGGGTTAGCAGCAGCACTGAGGGGAATCTGGTCAGGCACCTGGGGTGAGGCACTGCTCAGCAGGGCCCATGTGTCCAGGGCAGGCCCCTCACCCTGCCCACCACACCAACATGGTGCAATAAATACTTTCAAGTGTCAGGCAGGAGAGAGTTGGATACTGATGGGCAGTCAGGGGCTTAGGGAAAGGAGCCCCCACTGCCCACTGAGTCCTCTTAGTGAGCTCCAGCTGTATCAGGTCTGTCTGTGCACACAGGAGTAGGGATCTGGCCCCCACATCCACGTAGGCACTCCCTGCAGGGGTTCAGCCCCTCAGACCAGTGCCAAAGTCTGCTCGGTGGGGCAGAAGCAGGGCAGCATAGTGCCCACAGCATCCACGATGGCTGCCAGGTGCTCGTCCTGTGCCTGAGGCCCACAGAGCTGCATGAAGTCCGCCAAGCGCAGCAAATACTCAAGGTTGTGGCCTGAGAAGCCGCGGCAGGCCAGGATCTGTGTAGCAATGGCCTCCTCAGGTGCAGGGCCTAAGTAACCAGGGTTCTGTGGTGTGGCTACATAGGCCAATGCCTTGAGTGGTTGGTCAGGGGTATCTTGAGGGTAGAAGGTCACCTCCTTGGTATCATAGCCACCGAGCACTGCTTCCCGCACGTTCAGATACTTCAGAGCCTCGCTCACCTGTTCATCTCGCACCTGGTATGCCACGCCCCAAGTGCAGCCCTAGGAGAAAACATGGGCACAAGGGTCAGTCACAACAGCTCCTTGCTGTTCCCACCCCAGGACTCTGCTCTATAAGGGAGGTGGGAGGAGGGCTGATGACCATCTAGTAGCAATATATCAAACCCTCCTTCTCTCTTTCTTAACAAGATTAACGGGGTGGTCTTGCCCCAGAGTGAACAGGATTATATTCAGACTGTGGTCTAAAAACCGGTAGCATCACCTGTAAGCTTGTCAGGAACGCGAGTTTCAGGCTTTAACAAGATTCTCAGGAAATTCTTGTAAGAAGCACAGATCTAGACCACACTTTCCTTCTGCCAGAGGGACATCAAATCTAATCTGGACCCACGAACTGTCTGTTAGCACCTCTCCACACTTGGCCCCAGGTTCCCTCTCTTTACTCAGGCACTTACCTCATGATCTTCAAGAAGAGTCACCACACGGCCAGGCTAGTGAGGAAGGAAAGATTTTGAAAAACAGAAGTTAGAAATCAGATCTGCCATCAGTGCTGGAAGATTTATCAACCCTGCAAGCACAGGCCTCAGGGAGCCCCAGTCATCCAGGGGAGAGTGGAGAGAGTGATGTACACATGCAGGAGAAATAGACACATGGCAGTGTCCCGGATTGATCATCAGAATTATTCATCAAGACTCCAGCCATCACACAGTGATCCACTGGGCACACAAATTGAAGGCACAAACCCTGGGCACTGGCTTACCTATTTTCTCCATCAGCAAGGAGTCAGTCTGCCCAAAGAGCCCTGGACATTCCAGTGTCCCCTATCCTGCTCCTACTCCCATCCCTATTCCCCGGGGCATGATTCAATGCTCACCATCTTGTCGCTGCCCCGATGGAAGGTGTCTCCCTGCCAGAACCGGCGGCTGTAGCCGCGCACAAAGCCCACACGGCTGTCGCTGTAGGCGAAGTCGGGCCTCCACACCAGGGAGCCATAACCGAAAATCCACAGCGCTTGGGGGACGCCGTCGTCCCGGGGAGGCTGCGCGGGCGGCGAGGCAGGCGCGGTGTTCTGGGCTGCGGATTCCTGCTTCATGGTGCCGGGCACAGGGACGGGCCCGGGCGGTCTCCCGAACAGGTCTCCTGCGCAGGCACGGAGGGACCGACGGACGCGCACACCTGGCCTGGCACCGTTTAGTCGCTCCAGCTGCGTGGCCCCTGCCAGGGCCCTTTTTAAATCCTCCGGTAGGCAGGCACCGCCCACCGCGGCCAGCTGCCTTGGTGATTGGGGCGGGGCAAATCCCCTTTTGGCCAATTACCTTTAGATTTTGCTTCCCAGTTAACCGCTCAGCCCTCTGAGTGGGTGACTGAGCGGCCTGCCCCCCGGCCCATTGCGCCTGCTGATTGGTTCGGCTGCACCTCTGTAGCAAACCTGCCAGGAGTGATGCAACGGCGGGGTGGGTTTCCCCAGCTCTGGCATGCAGCAAGGGCGCCTCGGATTGCGTCAGGCGGCGGGCTGTGGGCACAAACGTGGGCACCGGTTGTCTCCCCGGCGACCTCTCCATGGCCTGAGCCCTTCAAGAACCACGGTGGGTGGGTCCCAGACGAGTATCTTCCCTGCAGTCCTGCGGATGCACCTGGCCCTAGGCAGCACGGATTCACCAGGGCCAGTCAGAGCACGGTCAGGAGTGCTCTAGACGGTGCAAATGCCTGTCTCTGGGGCTCCGCCTGGGAGCACGCACTCTGGAGAAGGCGTCAGAGGCACCCTCCGCATTCCGCACAGGTGTTTCACGCTGTAGGACTCGTAAGCAAGAGGAGAAACTGAGTCACGGGACTGACAAGGGGTTCTGCAGAGGCTGAGTCAGACCAGGCGCCCCAAACTTCCCAAAGCTTGCGGGACTCACGTGAGGGCTATGCCTCCAGCCAGGAGTGGGACCCCCTGAGCCCAGGTAGGTTGAGGAAGGGCCCGAGTTCTCCTAACTGCTGCGGTCACTTTGGCGTTGCTGTCCTGCATGCAGAAAGAGACCATAAAGGTAGAAAAGCCAGGCCAATTCTGCCCTGAGGCAGTAAGTTTAGTTCTGCCTGGGAGTGAATGCTTGACAACAATAGTTGGATGACTCCTTAGACAAGGAGATTCTGGGAGCCATGGCCAAGGAGGGCGGAATTGAGGCCCCCAGAGGGCTGTGGCCTTCTCTTTTGGCTGCTGGCTTCCCAACTGACAGAGAGGGTCCTCAGCTGCTTGGGGTTGACCTTCTAAGAATTGGCAAGGGGCTGTCCCCTGGGGATACCTCTGGCTGGAAAAGGGAAAGAGAGACCGCAGAAGGCCTGTCCCTCACAGGAGAGTGCTGATAAGGTCTGTGATAAGCCCTCTGGCACGGAAATGGACAATATTGCTCTCATTCTAGTCTAATTAGACATTTAAACTAAAAATTATCTGCATACTTAAAGTAAACATTCCAAAGGTGTCTAAGATATATTCTCCAGCAGGAATGTTGCACTATGGTTTGTATAGTATGAAGCTAGTTCTTTTAAAATAAAACAAGTTACATGTTAATATCTGTAGTAACAATAATAATAATAATCTGCAAGTATATACCTAAACTATTAGCAGAACTTGTATCAGAGGAGGACTTTTTTGTTGTTGTTAATCCTCACCGGAGAATATTCTTTTCATTGATTTTAATTTTTTTATTTTTTTATCCTCACCCAAGCACATTTTTGCATTTATCTTCAGATAGAGCAGGAGGGAGAGAAGGAGGAAGAGAGAGAGAAACATCCACGTGAGAGAGAAACACACATCCATTTGTTGTCTCCTGCATGTACCCTGACCAGAGCTGGGGATCAAACTTGCAACCCAGGTACGTGCACTTGACCAGGAACTGAACCCAGGGCAGAGGAGGACTTTCAACATTAAATGTCAACATTTATGGAAAAGTTTGGGTTTTTTACAAGGAGCATGAATTACTTTTCCAGTTGGAAAAATTATAGGCAAAATGTTTTTTTCTGATCATTCCTTTCTCTTTCCCTCCATTCCTCATGTTCACTCTCTCCTCTGCTCTCTGTCCTGTTCCCTTTAGTCCATATGACACCTCCTTAGCTGCTAGCTTCTTAGGGAGAATATCCCCCCTCTATCTACCACCTTTGGGTAGTGGGGTGGGAGGCGGGAAACTGGTACCAGCACATTGCTGGAAGTATCTGAATTGCCACAAACAACCCTTTGAAAAAGCAGTTTACTGATATGAATCAAGAATCATAAAATGTCCCTGCCCTTTGACCCAATACTTCCACTCCAGGAAATTATTCAAAATATGGGGAAAGCCATATGCCTGAAGATTTTCTAAGCATTGTTATTTATTATAGCAAAAACAAAAGAAGAAAAACTACTTTAATATCCAAAAATAGCTAAATGTTTAAGTAAATTATGGTCAATTCACATGATAGATAAATACATAAACACAGAGACACACATACAAAACAAATATCCAACAATAGATAATTAGTTACATAAATTTGACATCAACATAAAAATAAATCTGTGCAGTTATTAGAAACAATTATGTATCTATGATGTATAATTAGGTGAAAAAGCAGGTTATAAAATAAAATAGTATAACTCTTTAAATGTGAAAAGTCTGTATGTGTTTTTTTGCTTAGAAAAAATCTGGAAGGACACATAAACATGGTCCGTGATTACATCTAAGAAGGAGGACTATATGAGATTTGTGCTTTCTTTTTCTTAAATGTTTTTATTTATTTTTTAGAGAGAGAGGAACATTGATATGAGAGAGAAACATCAATCAGCTGCCTCCTACATGCTCCCCACTGAGGATCAAGCCTGCAACCTGGGCGTATGCCCTGACTGGGAATCAAACCTGGACCTCTCAATCCATGGGATGACACTCAATCCACTGAGCCACACTGGCCGGACTGTGCTTTCTTTTTATACCAGTTCAGATTGTGTAAGATTTTTTTTTTTTATCCTCACCTGAGGATATTTTCCCATTGATTTCTAGATAGAGTGGAAGGGAAGGAAGGCGATAAACATCAATGTGAAAGAGACACATTGATTGGTTGCCTCTCGAACAATCCCCTCAACTGGGGCCAGGGATCAGATTTGCAACTAGGTACATGCCCTTGACCAGGAATCTTTGGCCTGTGACCCAGTGCTCTAACCACTGACCCAAATCGGCCAGGGCTTGGATTTTTTTTGTTTTGTTTTGTTTTTGCTGCAAAAATCTTATTGTTTCCATTTGGTCCAGTGCATGGGAGAGGGCTTCAGGGTGGTTCAAAGAATGGTTAGTGGCCCTGGTCAGTTTGATTCAGTAGTTAGAGCATTGGCCGGTGGACCAGAGAGTCCCGAGTTTGGTTTCCGCTAAGGGCATGTACCTTGGTTACAGTTTGTCCCCAGCCCCGGTTGGGGTTGTGTGGGTAGCAACCAGTCAATGTGTCTCTGTCACATCGATGTTTCTCTCTCTCTCTTTCCCATTTTTCCCTCCCACTCTATCTGAAGATAAATGCAAAAAATGTCTTTGGGTGAGGATAAAAGAAAAAAAGGATGGTTAGTGGTTTCAGGAAAGAGGCTCAGGCAAAAGCCAGACACCAGGGGATGCAGAGGGGCCCTTCAAAGACCTCTGGTCTCCAGAGGCTCCTAGTCATGCTTGAGGCTGAGCATTTCAAAGAGTTACTCGCTCAGCCCAGCCTGGGGGCGGCCAGCTTTCCAGGTGAGTCAGGTGGTCACCCACCCTCTTAATGAGTTTCACCTCCTCCTCCAGGAAGCGGTTCTCCAGGAAGTCACAGAGATGAGAGACTGCACGGGTAGAACCCAAGCATGCAGATCCAAAAGGGCTTGGTTTAGGTTCTTCTCCAAGGCCATGGCAGCTTCCATGGCATCTTGAGTTTTGCCCCACTCATCATGGGAAGGCTTCAGCATGTCCTGGAAGAAAACACAACCACTGTGATGGTTTTGCAGCTTTAAGAGATGATCAGCACCCTCGCACTTCTCCGCCCACTCCCTCCAGAGCCACATGGTCAGAGTGGAAACAGAAGCCCAGAGACAGGTGGGTGCAGGAGGCCACAGATGCTGGGTGCCAGGTGGTTGGTTGACCACAGCCTCCACCGCGATGGAATAATTGTGACAAATTTGGGAGCCCATGGTTGTTCCGCAATAAGTAGTTAAAGTCAGAAAACAGTGTTGACTGGTCTTGGAGACTGAGGCAGTTCCAAAGGTAGTGATTGGGAAAGAGGTTTGGGGGAAAAAAAGACAAGAGGTTCAGGGTGGTTAGAGGCTGGAAGAGGGGGCGTCCCTGGGCCTCTTCTGTCTAAACATTGTTGAAGCAAGAGACAGATCTGGGGGACACCAAAGGCACTGCTGGATTTTTTTTTTAAGAGAACAAAACCCACTTTTTTTTACCCTCACCTGAAGATATTTTTCTGTTTATCTTTGGTAGAGAGAGAGGGTAAGAAAGGGAGTGAGAAAGAAACATCAACCTGAGAGGGACACATCGGCTGGTTGCCTCCCACACGACCCTGACCAGGGCTGGGGACGAACTACAACCAAGGTACATGCCCTTGGCTGGAATAGAACCCATGACTCATTGTTCCTCAGACCAATGTTCTACCGCTGAGCCAAACTGGCCAGGGCGAAACCACCTTTGTTTAGAAAAAAAGTTTAGCCCAGCCTGTGTGGCTAAGTGGTTGAGTGTCGACCCATGCACCAAGAGGTTGCCAGTTGATTTCTAGTCAGGACACATGCCAGGTTGTGGGCCAAATCCCCAGTGCAGGGCATGCAGGAGGCGGCCAATTAATATTCTCTCTCATCGCCCTGGCCGGTTTGGCTCAGCGGTTAGAGCATCAGCCTGCGGTCCACAGAGACCCGGGTTCGATTCCCGCTAAGGGCACGTACCTTGGCTGCAGTTTGTCCCCGGCCCTGGTTGGTCGTGTGGGTGGCGGCCACTCGATGTGTCCCTTTCACATCGATGTTTCTCTCTCTTCCTCTCTCTCCTTCCTGCTCTATCTGAGTAAAAAATGGAAAAATGTCCTCGGGTGAGGATAAAAAAAAAAAAAAAAAAAAAATTCTCTCTCATCGAAGTTTCTCTCTCTCTCCTTCTCCCT